ATGTTGTACTCGAGATGTTGTTTATTTATCAGCTCCAACTGTTTATTAGTCCACATTTAACCTAACTACAGGTTGTGTGAAAATTTCAGACCCCTACCATTATTACTTTCTGAGATAGCACCTCTGTGACGGACGTGACGTAAATATGACACTTTTTTGGGTGTCTACTCAGATGGTACCCAAATTTATCTCAAAAAGTTATCTATTGTATCTAATTTGGAATTACAATGATAGAAGAAGGTTTAGGGATTTCTGAGATGCCATTTTCTTAGAGATTGCTCAATTTTTGTTTGCGTGGCGCCATTTTCAAATTGTGACAGACGTGACTGTGACGGACACACGTTTTTTTTCAATTTTTCCAAATCTTCCACTTGACACTTTTATCTTGTTCAGTGACATCTACTCTGTATTCATGCAAATTTTTAGGCATCAAATACCCCCAAGAGGTCTGCAACAGCCAAAATCGTCCATTTTGGGCATACGCTGGGGTATCAGTCTAGGGGCATCAATTATTTCTCTACTTGAACAAATTTATAACTCTGGTAAAACATTCATCACTGTTCAACGCATCATACTGTTGAGACCATCTCCTAAAAGTTTCATTACTTTAGTGTTTAAAATGTGGAAGATATTGAATTTTTACTTCAAAAATATGCGAAAATAGGGTTAAGTCCATTTTTGTGCCTTTTACCTCTGAAAAAGTTGTAAGCAAATAAAATGGCAAAAAATCAGTAAATTAAATTATTGAATTGCATATGATGTTATTTGATAGTCTAGTCAACATAGTCAACACAATCCAACCTTATTTGACTTCTATTTGTCTTGGTTTTAGTCAAAATAATGGAAATATGGATAAAAATGGCTAAAAGTGAGCCGTATGCCCATATATGGGCATATACAAAATTATACATAACTCGGTCATTTTCTGTCCAATTTTTGATTTGACGACATAGTTTTGTTGAGGACGGCCTCAGCTTTAAGAAAAATGCCTTTAAAGTCTGTTAAAAGATTGTTTGGAGCGTTTTCAAAAAAATGTGACGGACGCGACAAGTTGGGACCCCCCTTACAAAATTTTTTTCTTAAAAGATACAAGCCTGATAATTTCTACGGTACTCCCTTACCTTCAGAAGAGATAGGTTACAGTGGTTTTTTGAATATAAATAGCACTATGTGGCTCTGAAAAAACTTTTTTGCTTAATTTTGTGACGGACGTGACACCATCTTTGTGGAAATTTTTTAGAAAAAGTATTTGAGTAACGGTTTTGAAACTTTGCATAGCTCTCATTCTTATGCATATGCCTAAGTGTATGGAGTTTCATAGAGAAATATTGCTGCATACCCAAACTATGGCCCTTTGAAAATTTGAACGATTTTTTTCATTTCCGAGTAGTGTTCCTTTGAATGAGAAAAATCAAAAGTTAACGCAATATGAAACAAAAAACTTTTGTTGACTTGTAAGGTTAAGAGTCTAATGAACATATTTTAACCAAAATTAGGTGCCTATCTTAACATTTTTCATTTTCACCAAGTGGAACCTTACCGTGGAATTGCCCAAATAACTATGGGCTTCGAGACAATACCAGCTGAAATTGAAACAGGCAGAAATTGAAATTCTTTGATTCTTTGATCCTCGTGACCAAAATTGTTATGGTTTTAAAAGACGAGAGAAAAAAGAACGAAATGCGAGGTGAGAAGAAAAAATTTCCACTGCTGGGTAACAATATCATAACAGACTAAGAAGTCACTGACTTACTGGTCTGTGTGTGGGTATTTTAAGCAGCCCTGAAGCGTATCAGAATGCAGGATCGATATCACGTGACCATTGGCAAGCCAATACGTGCACTACATTGGTATCACGTGATCTACAAACACATGGAGCAGTTCTGCGCTTGACAGGGCTGTTGGCAAGCAGCCACTGTCTGGAAGAGTGAGTCACTGAGTGTCTAGAGTCCAGTATGGAGTCACGTGACCTTGATATCCCGTATTAGTCGGCTTGACCAGAGAGGAGTGACGAATAAACAAGCACAATGCTGGTAGAAGAGGAAATAAGTGGCGAAGTTCAGGATCAAGCTATCAAGAAGAATAACATAGTCATGATCATTGGGTTTATAAACGTGCACTAATTACATTATCTGACGATTGTTATCAGGCTTTGAGTTTTGGTAGTTATTTTTAAAATTTCGGTCCCCGATAAATTGTTATTTTTTGTGATACCGATAGCGGTGATCATGGTCTGCAGTATATTATATATTTCTCAGAGCTAAGTATTATTTCTATTTGATATCCGGACTAACTCAGAATATTTAAACTAATTGAATTTATTCGTCATCGTGTTGGTCTCGCGATCAACACAATGCCTAACCGACAAAGTGTTTGCCGATAATCCTTAGTGGGAACTTTATAATTACAGTGCAGACCTCCTAATAACAAGTAGAATTCAAAAGTCGAAACAGCCTCCCATTTTGGTTTTGACTCACCGAGTAAAATACAAAAATAAAATCCTCTTCATTTAAAGTCAGCCACCCCGACGCGACAACTCCGTCAAAATAATATAGTTTACAGGAGACTATGGGAAAGAGTGAACCTGTGACGGTATCACAGCTTGTGTACCTGCCCGTGTACCAGCATAATAAGCTCAAGTTCGGGTATAGTCTTGAAGCTTCTTTAACGTTCCGTTGTTCATATAAAATAAAGACAAGTTCCCTGCAATATTCACATAAACTTGGGGAAGGTAGGCATGTTGGTAGAATGCGGGGGGGGGGGGGGGGGGGGGGGGAGGGGGGGTCACGTCCGCTTGTCTCATAGAATTTTATAAGTCGAAATTTTTCAAAGTTTTTTTTTGGAAACTAGGGGAGGCCTGCTTTCTGAGATTGAATCGCAAAGAGGATGCCTCAAGGCTCGATAGGTTATGAATATAGGCTTCTTATGAATATAAGCTCCTTCCAATTGTCCAAATTATGTGCGAAAAATTCTCATAATGTTTGTCGCACGCTAATGTCCGTCAATGTCCGTCCGAGCCCGTCAATGTCCGCTAATGTCCCAAAAAACACGTCCGTTGTCTCATAGACAATAGTGGGTAAAAATATGGCGGATTTTCCGCCAATTTTAACCCGCCATAATTAAACAAACTAAGGTAGTTATCGAAAATTAACATAAAATAATAATCAATACAAACAGATCGGGTAAAGTTAGACCTCTGTCACCATGCAAAACTTCAAATATTGGGCCATTGTGTGACCCGAGTAGATCAGAAAGGAAATGATAGTAATGAAAAGGCACACTCTTTTGCCAAACAAGGCTCTGATAACTCCGCCCAAGTGCTACTACCAATACCAAAAGTATTATGGAAGGGAGCGCTGCGGAGTATAAGTCATCGGAAAATGAGGGAAAGATGGAGAACGTTGCCCAACACTCATTTCAAACGAGTATGGAGACACAAGTTCGCCAGATTAATCCCCAAACTTGGTAAAGAGAGCACAAGAACAGCGACACAATTCCTCACTGGACACTGTGAACTAAACTACCATATTAATAAGTTCAAGCCGAAAACTGTGCCTAAAACTTGTCCACACTGTCTCATGGAAGAGGAGACAATGAACCACTTTATTGGTCAGTGCCCGAAGTGGTCTTTCCAACGAGGAGAATACTTTGACTCCTTCTACCTTAGTGTGACAGGCATAGTGGACAATATTACCGGGGTAAGCACAGGGCTCCAATGCTCTCTCTTACAGGGCTCCAATGCTCTATCTTACAGTGGTCATGCTCTATCTTATTGTGATAATGACCGCATCCGCCTACGAAGACCTGAGGAGTGAGTTAATGTGAACGTTTTGGGTGTAGGTCTCTTAAGCGGGCCGGGGGGGGGGGTAAGAATTTTTTTTCCCCAATCTAAAAAATCACATTTTTCCATCTTGTTGACCTCTTATTTCAAGAACAAAGGCAAAAATCAAAATTTTAAAACATAACGTTTTTGCGTGACACCCCAAAGAACACACGTGCCAAGTTTCAGCTCCTGGTTGTGGCCAGTATTTTCATGTGATTACAATTATTAAACCTCAATATTTGGTGCGTGATATCTCAAAAACGCAGGGTCAGATTTCGGTCCGGTTTTTTTCTTCTTGTTCGTCTCCAGCAGCTCTATCACAAATGTAAAAACTGGAAAAATTATGTTTCCCCCCCCCCCCCCCCCCCCCCTCTGGCCTTAATCCCGAGCTGATTGTCATAGGCCAGGTAAATAACGTTAATTCGATTATAACTGGTAAGTTTTACCAGGGTGGCACAACATAATATTACTTATAATTACATTGGGGGGGGGGGGGGGAGTGCCACGTCCGTCTATGCGGACTTCGAAAATCGAAAAAAAATATTTTCGGCTAATAATGATCAGGCCAGGGTAGCATAAAACATGAGCAAAATTAGTTTCCAAAAATAATTTCGGTCCGAGTCATATCCTTCGATTATCGAAGTCCGCACCTACCCCTCGATACACAATTTTGGAGTTTTTCTGAAAACCACTTTTCTCCACGTTTCATTCTACCGTGTTCATTATTAGCCGAAAATATTTTTTCGGTTTTTCGAAGTCCCCACCTACCGCCTCGATACACAATTTTGGACTCGAGGCTTCCCCCTGGTAATGCAATCTCGGAAGGCAGGCCTCCCCTTTGCAACACAAGCTCGGAATTGGGAGCTCTCGATATGGGAGGTACGTATCGAGAATGAAATAATTCTCATAATTTTTGTCCGTTTATGTCCGCCAATGTCCGTCCGAGTCCACCAATGTCCGTCAATGTCCGCTAATGTCCCAAAAACATGTCCGCTTGTCTCATAGAATCCAAAAAGGACAGGACATGGCGGACATTGGTGGACATGTCACCGGGTCACCCCCCCCCCCCCCCCCCTACAATTATATGTTTTCCCGTTATTTAATAAATAAATTCCCGCTTAAAGTTCTAAGTGCTTCAAAATGTATGTTACCAATCCTGATAGACCCTTAATTTCAGGAAAAGTGGCTGCCAGGGAGTCGAGTTATAACAACGCTTCAGCAGTCGCTAGAAATCCCCTCCTCAGCTCTGTTAAACTTATTTACTACAAGATATTTGCTAAGATGTACTCGGTAATGGGAGCCAAATCTAAACTTGTGTTTGTCAACTCATCTTGGACCAAGGGACACATAGACGATATTTGGCAGATTCCTGACAGGACTACACTTCTTTACCCACCTTGCAATACTGAGAACTTCCTTAAAATTTCGGGACCTAGATCTAAGAGGATTGTGTCGGTTGCCCAGTTTCGGCCAGAGAAAGATCATAAATTGCAGATCGAATCATTTGCGATGTTCGTGGAAAAAACTGGACGAAGAGATGTAACGTTAACCCTAGTGGGTGGGGTAAGAAACCAGGGAGATAGAGATAGAGTAGAATCTCTGAAGCAACTTTCTGAAACCCTTAAAGTAGACGAACTGGTTGAGTTTAAAGTCAGTATCCCCTACTCCGAGCTGTACCAGATCTTATCCGACTCTCTGATGGGTCTCCACACCATGTGGAACGAACACTTTGGTATTGGAGTGGTGGAGTTCATGGCAGCCGGTATCATTCCCATAGCACACAACAGCGGGGGTCCTAAGTTGGATATAGTGGTACCAGGGACAGGCTTCTTAGCAGCCACTGCTGAGGAATACAGTGATCACGTGATAAGAGTTCTGGAGATGACAGATGAAGAATTGGAGGGCATAAGGGAAAGAGGACGGGAGCATGTGATGGGCACCTTCTCTGATGAGGCCTTCTCGACTGTCTTTATTGAGAAGTGTGTGAACGAGTTGGATATGGATCTTAGATGGATTGAAGAGTTTGATGCAGAGGACGAAGAGAGGTTGGAAGAGTTTTCAGATTGATTGGAATTTAAATTTTCGTTTGATTTGGAGTGTTTACAGCTGATCTTCACTTTGTTAGTCGTTCAGATAGTTTTATTGACTGGAAAATATTATTGATCTATAAGCGTTTTCCTCATAAATTGGTAATTTTTAATGGGACACTATTTAATTTTAATGTTATTTATTTTTATTAGTTTAAAAGCACATTTAACCTTCAGGGTCACAAATTTTAAACAATTGATACAGTGTTTTAAGTGTTAGATTATAAATTTATGTTTTCTTTTGAGTTAAGCACTGTATTTTCTCGAACAAACATTTTATCACAATAGATTCTCCTACTGCGCTAACAAGCTCTAAACCCCGTAACTTTAACTCCCCGTTAAAAACTCAGCCTCATCAAGATCTTTGGTTTGTACCGTCTCCCTTCTGACTTCTCATCAAGTCTTACCAAGAACAAGCGCCTTTACATGGGTACCTGTATTTTTGTTTTATTTTCAGTTGAACTTGACTGAGTAGAGTGACTGATTGTTACTTGAACATAAAGTAGAAACATGCAGACATTTGGTTATCAACACAAGAATGGAAAGAATTCCATAAACCTAAGATCATTGCTGCAACATACTTGTGAATATCTTTGCAGTCAGTGTGTTCAAGACAGGGATAGTAGTTACCTCCCTTGTCTAGATAACACCAGTTCTTGCAACCCAGTCCATCAAAACACTTCTTTCTGTTCTCAAAGAACGCACAAGCTCCTGATAAGGATTGATAACGGACATTTACTTCGAGTAAGAGATTCCGGCAAGTGGGCAAGTGTTTCTATTGATATTAACTGTTCTAAAGGTGTTGCGATATTCATAGCTGAAAAACTTGGACAAATAGACATAGCTAGTGAGCACTAAGCATCCTAATGTTTAAAACAGCACAAAAGAAATTATAAGTTCTGACCTCCATATTGGCTCCAACAGAGCCCTTGCTTACACCCGTAAGTACAGCTACTGATTCTGTCACAGGGGTAATCAGAGTCTGACCACGCACACGCTCCCTCTCCTGATAACATGTTCTTTACTATCATGTCACATGTGGTACATACTATATTTCAACTTTTTCAGAGGAATTAAAACATTGATCTCAATTGAATATACTGTGGTTTTTAACGATATATCCATATTCTTATTAAACTTTAGGCATGCAACAGACTACTTGGCATTGAGATGCGTAATTAATAGTTAATAGTACTAATTAATTATAATTACCTTCTTCAAAAACTGCGGCGAGAACCACCATGCATAGCACAATAAGTACCTTCATCTCTGAACTGTAAACGTTAGATACGTCGTAATAGAATCTAGACTTAAATAATACATATATTATCGATGAAACGAGTTTGAGTAAATCAATACAACCAATTACCATCAATATTCAATAGTAATAGGATTAGAATAACTTGCGGCTGATGAGGAGCCTAGATCCACTGTTTTAAATATCAATCACAAAAAAAACTAAGGAGCAGTTTTCTAAAGGAATAGTTGTCTATTACTTAGCTCATGTTTAACCACAATCGTGCTAAATACGTTAAACTGCCATGTGCCAGTTTTATTTGAAGATCTGCACAGTGTGGCTGACGAGGTAGAACTAGAAGAAATGAATTAGCAGGCCGGGTTAATTCAATTTTCGTTTTGAAATCATGAACTTGAGTATACCATATTTTTTGTCAACTATGGTTCATAGTTCAATTAGGACTCTGTCAAGGCTTTGTCTTACTGTTCAGAGCTATTGTCTACAACTTTGAATATGAAGTTATTCGATTTTTTGTTAAAACTGTAAATTGTATTAGAAAAAAAATACGGATTCGATATTTTACGTAAAGTATGTTTATAAAGTGATGGTGTGATCTAATCTGACAACATCAATAATTAAGTATATATACCTAATTCAACCATATACCTATTTTAAATTTTGGTGCGATAGTAGGCAAAAAAGTTTAAAAAATATTATTGCTATATTGATATATATAAGTTTACATAATACATAGTTTAAGTTATGCTGTTCTGATTAAATAAAGTATAATCAAGGCCAAGGATTGAATTAAAATTAAAATTATACTTATACCAACTCGTGTAATAGGAGTTTAAAATAAAAATACACTATCATTGCGATAATTAAAATTAAAAATATCAGTAAAAGGTAAAACTTCAATCCCAAAATCTTCCTTATAATTATAGATTATATCACCATACATTGGTCTCTTCTTAAAGTTAAAAGCAATCCACAATAGTCCATAATGATAAAAGCAAAGTAGATCAGTGCCCGAAGGTCGATGAGTCACAACTAGAAGTGCTTGTAGTTGTGTAGACTGTGGGTATAAAATGTAGAAGCAATGTCATGTCAATATCTACCTGTTTATTTTATCTCGTTCCGCTCCGCAACAGTCACATCTCTGAAATTGTATCCTTGTGTCATTCAGCAATACTTTAAAGATACTAGCAGGAACCCGTCAAACCTTTAAGACTGGTGTCAAGGCTCTTTGGTGGCCGGATCAGTTTCCTACCCTAAAGTCTCCCAGTAAAAATAATTATTACCTATTTAATTCGCGTTTTTGACACCACTTGGGGGTCCAAATTTTGGGTACTAAAATTCTTATTCCTTGGCCGATTTTCGATTTTTTCATGCTGATTTGAAGGCCATTAAAGCATTTGAATCAGTTAAAAAAGTTTCAGTTTTATATCTTGTACGGTTTTTGCGGAAACCCGTGTTAAAGTTGATGCCGTGGTGTCAGTAAAATGGTGCGGATAAATAAATATATATATATCGTCTCGCTTTATATATAGTAAGATAGTGCATTATTATTTAATGTGTAAAACTGATTACGCAGGGGGAGGGGGGGTTAAAAATTGTCCAAAAAGTGATTACGTAATATGTTAATTTAATCTTCGATGTCATTTTGGACTTTGATTTGATCAATTAAATAAGAACTAACCACAACTTGACGCGGCTAGTCTACTGGGGGTGATGCAACGTCAATTAATGTCAGTATTCCATAAAAACCCCAAACTGACATTGACATTAATTGACATTAATTGACATTAATTTTTCTTGAAATTTGAGATTATCATTATTCGATAAGTATTCAAGATATAAATCAAGAGGCTTGCATATAATGAACATATTGACACGGGTGCAGAGTTGAGTCTGTACGGAACCTAGTAGTTTCAGATCCTTGTTTAACTTGCCGTACAGCAAGGTCATCCACTACTTTAGCCCGGCGAGGCACATAACTCCCTCTACAACTCCATGACAAATGTTTCATATATACTAGCCGAGTTCACAAGATATATCCTTGTGTTTGAGAAGAGCTCGTTAGAACTGCTTCCTTTCCCCTCAGTATCCCACAGTATGGCAGTATCTAGATAGCCCGACCACTGTCCGCGGACAACTGTCCGCGGAAAACTGTCCACGGACAACTGTCCACGGACAACTGTCCACGAACTACTGTCTACCAGATCATATTACTGCATAATAACAGTATCCCCTGAATCAAGCAACGAAGGGCCTGAACGGAACCCCTCGGTTTCAGTTCCTTGTTTAACACTGCCGTACGGCAAGGACATCCACCGGGTTCTCCAAGGATGGGCACATAGCTCACTCCACAATATGCTCTGTCAAATGTTGCTTATAATATACCAAGGATCTACAGGAAATATTTCCTTGTAAGTTTTTATAATAATTATGAGTATGTTCTTATCTGTTGATCCTTAGGTTCAAAGACCACCAAAAAAAATGTCAGCTTCCAACTCTTCCATCTTCGGTCCCCACCGGCCACGCCCATATTTTATTGGTTTCTTATACAGGTAAAATATCTAGAATCGGCTTTTTTAGTATGAAGGAGTAATGTTAGCTGTTTAAGATTCGTTATTCAAATATAAATGTCATGAAGGCATTTCGTTTAATGTGGGTTTTAAGTTCTGATGATGTTGAATTTCGGAAAACCGTATTATTTTAGTTTTATTGTTTAATGATCTGAATTTTTTCACATTTCCATATGTGATAGTAGTGAATAAATTGATGATATAAACGTTCTAAAGTGCTAAAAATATGGTAGAACTACATAATCTCTGGTCGAAAAATATCGTGTCAATTAATGTCAGTATTCCAAAATTTTGCAAAACTGACATTGACATTAATTCAAATTGACATTAATTGACATTAATTGACGTTGCATCACCCCCAGTCTACTTAGCGCTCCCCTCACTCTCACTCTCAGTTACACATGCTGTCCATCCTGACTTGCACTTGGAGTTTTCGTCGTCACTCTGCAAGATCCAAAAAATCATGATCAAAGTGATGTTGAGAATTTAATTCATTTTTTAAATGGATTTTATTGTTTTGTTACAATTTGAATTATAAACAAAATATGAACTTCAATGGAAAAATAATGTACCAGTATGTAGTACTAGTAGTCAGTTTGAACTGCGGTTGGATAAATTATTTAAAGTGTTGCTCTCAAGTTTTATTTGTTATCTTATTTGTTATCTTAAGTTTAACAAATCAATCGTAACTATAACATAAACAAACCGGGCACACATCGATGTAACAGTGCATAAACACCACGGCAGTAGGTCGCTCGTTGAAACGAAACACCTCGAAACTGAATCTCTGGGCCAAACTGTTGGGAGAGTCGTGGACCGTGGTACTGAACTGTGTCATCAGCCGCGCAGCCATCTCACATCTGCCAGCAAGTTGTGGTGGACAGTTGCCTCAGAGTCAGAAGAATCGTCGGGTGGGTTTAAAATGTCTGGGACAATGTAGTTGGTGTAGTATGCCATAGATTCATTGTAAGTCACGACAGTACCACAGCTAGCCCAATTTGTGGTTACATTGACAAACTTGTCATCTGCAACGGCCTTACAACTCGGGTCTTTAAGTGAGGCCCTGGATGTGATGAGATGGGGGAATGCAGAGCGGTGGAGGGTCAATGTCATGTTGCTCGAATGACACGTGACCTCAACGTAAGACTGGGTGAATATCTCCAACTCTGGGTTAGGGTATATGACCACGTCACCGTGTGCCCCTCCGATGAAGGAACCCCAAGATAGAACCGCTTCAGAATCACTTGTTGCCTTCTTGGACAGTTTCGCTACATGATCAGCCGTGGTGACGTAAGTAGCATACAAATTAAAGTACATGATCTCTCCTCGGAAGGAGTAACTGGAACTTCCGCTATGTATCTGCCCTAACTTTATCCGAAGTCCCTTCTTAATGACGGAGCCTGCGGACAGACCACTGAAAGAGAACACTTTCCGTCCGTTGACCCAGATAGACCCTACCCCGTTAGCATCAGCTATACCTATAATGGCGCAGGAGGATCAACCTGAAAAGAACATTGCTTGACCCTCCTGCCCCACCACATGGATCAGGAGGTTCATTTCAGAAAAAACAAACTGCGAAAATGAGATTGAGGATAAAAGTTGATCACTACAGCTGCGGAAAAACGTACGATTATAAATGCGCCATCCCCGACAGAAAGCATAGGGAAACAGTTGCTGTGTGATAAAAAAAAAAATGAGACTGAAAATTATGTGGAGATGAACAAGAAGCCACAACATGCGGTTGGGTTTTCTGCGAGGAAGAGAATGATAGGAAGGTTATACAATCGCCTGGGCAAATCATAGATGTATGTGATGGAATCAGGGAAGGCTGGTCCTGGATTTCAATTAATTTTTCAATATGGCTTTGGCGAAATGATATTTGCAATGCACCCTTAATCCAAAATATAAAAATTCATATCGCCTCTATCCAAATGCTCGATTCCTGATCCTGGTGTTCTCAATTCCTGATCTGTGAAGACTAGAAGACCAGATGAACTGCTCCTCATTCCCAACCTTCCACTACATGTAATGTGAACGGTCTACATCAACTAAGATCTCCGAGTTACATTAATCTGCAAGGACTTGATTCATTTGTGATGACAATTTGATGACGTCTGCATTAACGAGGAGTTTGTCAATGTACGATACACAAACACAAGTTTTGACGATGGAGTTAACGACTGCTTAAAAACCGGAACGACGAGAAGACTTCTTCCTGCAAGGATTTGGTTCGGCCAAGAGATTATCTGTGTCCAGACGAACTCTCATATACAAACAATCTATTACAAAAATACCCCACAATGATCCGATGGGGTGGAGATTGCAGTGACATGATAGAGAAGATCCTAACTCGGGGGTAAGGGAGATCGGCTCACGGGGAACGCAAGCGATATACACGTTTTCAGGCAAGAGTAGTAGATTGCAGTCTGATCGCCCAGCTTAAGGTCC